CAATTGATATTTTTTTTGATTAGTTGAATGATTTTTCAAGACAGTTAGAACTGTCCAACATATAATTCATTTGTCTTGCAAGATGTATCGTGTCTCGAAAGTTTTAAAGATTTGTCTCAAAAGTTGCGTACCCACCCAATAATGATGAGATTTTATGAAAAAATGAACATTAAGAGCATTTATAATAATTTTATTTAAAAGTAATCTTTTTGCAAATTTCCACAAAAGTTTCCATTGTCCAAAAAGGATATAATAATTTTATTTAAAAGTAATCTTTTTGCAAATTTCCACGTAAGTTTCCATTGTCTAAAAAGGACATGTTGCGAGCCCTTCGTTGGTATTCTTCCTAGTTATATTTATACAACAATTTTTGTTAATCGTATCACATTTAAATATCAATGAACATCTTCAAATTTTACTCATTCTCACATTTATATTTTAATTACATTTTCATATTTAATTTTCAATTAATTAGTACATCTTGCATGTGATGACGATTTGTGTACATTTATTCTGCTAACATTGGACGATTCTTTTGTTATTGAACGTTTGTATTGTTGTTTATCTTGCTTATTTAAACTATTAGAAATAAATAGATCTTTTTTTTTATTATTAATTCACTTAAGATATACTAATTGATTGTGGATAAAGTTATAATAAAAATGTGAGACATAAATGTTAAAATTAATAAAAGTTAAGGACTTTCATTGCAATTAAAATGTTTCGTAATTTACAAAATTTCAAAATATTAATTATTTATCTAAAATCAAGATAAATCACTTCATTTTCAAATTTAATTTAAAAAAAAAAAAAAAAAGTTACCTCTAATCGACAGCTTTGGTGCTAATTACAATGAGATTATGACATAATGCAACTATAGAGTGATCCTACATGTACATTATATTTTTCATTATAGCACGAGACATAATCTACACCATTAATTTTGAATCTTGAAATTACATCAATGCCCACCCTCTACGTAGGGACGGATGTGAAGCTAAATGTACACAAAAATGTACACATCTAGCAAAATTCAAACGGGAGGTGCTACAATTATATTGGGATGTACATAAGGGTGTCCATCATGGACACACGACACCTCCCCATTGGATCAAGTACAGGTGGGGTCGGCACTTCATTCAATGGGGAGGTGCCGGGTGTCCATTATGGATATTCTTATATACCCCCTAATGTACAAGCAGTATTTTTCAATTTAAATTAACATTTTATTTATTCCCTAACCACTACGCTAAGATATTTTAAGAAAAATAACATAAAAAAAATACTTTTC